TTGGTGATAAGTTCCTCTGCTCACTTACTTAATCTCCTGTATGTCTCAAAAGAGACTGACTCAACATACAAGCTAATCCTGTAGATTGGATCCTGTGTCATTAACATTGTTGTTGTTAGGTGCCACGGAGTCAGCTCCACCTCATAGGAACCCCATATACAACATTTATATAACTGCCCCTAATTCTGCCTCATTAACATCATAATGCACTACTGTCAAGTAGGACCCAACTCATAGCAACTCCGCCTTGATTTCCAAGGTGGCATCACTATGGAAGTAGATTGCCCAACCTTCCTTCCAAGGAGTGACTGGTGAGTTTGAACCACCAGTCTTCTAGTTATCAGTCAGATGCCTTCAGTACTATGCCACCAGAACTCCTTCCATTAACATCATAGGGGTTAGGATTTACAACATAGAGGATAATTACTTCAGATCACAAAATGGAGGATAAACAAAACAAAACAAAACAAAACAAAAACTCACCACAATCGAGTCACTAGAGAATTCTACCAGACATTCAAAGAAGAGCTGACACCAATTCTAGTCAAATCATTCCACAACATGGAAAAGGATAGAATACTTCCAAATTCATTCTATGAAAAAGCATTTCACTGATACCAGCCAAGGACATTATTAAAAAGGAAACTTACAGACCAATAACCCTCATGAATACAGAAGCAAAACTTCTCACCAAAATCCTAGCCAATAGAATCCAACACCATATCAACAATCTGTTATGGACTGACTTGAGTTTTCCAGAAATATGGCTGGGCATTGGGGGCATAGTTCTTTATTATGGTTATGTCCTTCTGTTGCCTCAACCCTTCAGTCGTTATGTAATTCCCTTCTTTGTTTCTTATGCTGGTTTTTCCTTAAAGTCTATTTTATCAGAGATTAATATGTAACTCCTACTCTTTTTTTGTTGCTGTTTGCTGGGTACGTTTTTTCCCATCCTTTGATTTTAAGCTTACTTTTATCTTTGTGTCTAAGGCGTGTAGGTAACATATTGATTGATCATGGTTTCATCCATTTTGTCACTCTCTGTCTCTTGACTGGTGCATTTAATCTATTTACCCTCAGTGTAATTATCCATAAGTATGAATTTATTGCTGTCATTTTGTTGTGTATGTGGGTTTTTTTTTTTTGGTGGTACTGATGATTTATTTTTTCTGTGCTGGGTTCTTTTTGTCTACAGATTTTCTTTTCATTTCCTTCATTACTGTTGAGTTTGTATTAACTGAGTATGATTTTCCTCTTTTTTATTTTAGTGGGAAAGTTTATTAATTTTCTTTGTTGTTATCCTGAAATTTACTTTTATATTTCTAAGTTTAAAACAGACTGTTCTATCTTGATATTGCCCTGACTTCATCTCCACATGGAACTCCTATAGCTTCACCATTTAGTCCCTCTTTTTGGTCTGAAGCTGTCATCATTTATAGATTGATGTGTCTGGTTCTCTATTTCCAAAAAGTCTTGTGGCTTTATTTTGTTTTTGAAAATTCTTTATCTGGGTTGGTGTCTGGGTAGTGTTGTCATGTGTCTTAACCTCAGGCTGTCTGATGTTAGTTCTCTGTCCAAAGGACTCACTTTAATATTTCTTATAAAGTTGTTCTCACTTTTACAAATTTGTTTAATTTCTGTTTATCTGGAAATGTCCTAATTTTGCCATCATATTTGATAGGGATATATACTTCTTGGTTGGCATTTTCTTTTCTTTCAGGGTTTTATATATGTCACCCTATTGCCTTCTCGCCTGTATCATTTCTGCCAAGAAATCAGAGCTTAGTGTTACTGGTTCCCCTTTGTAGGTAAACTTTCATTTCTCCTGAGTTTCTCTCAGGATTCTTTCTTTGTCTTTGGTTTTGGAAAGCTGGATTATTATATGTCACAGTGAGTTTCTTTTGGGGTCTATCCTATTTGGGGTTTGTTGAGCTGCTTGAATCTTCTCATCTTTCATGATACTAGGGAAGTTTTTTGTCAGCAATTCTTTGAAAAATTTTTCTGTGTTTTTCCCTATTCTGGAATGCCAACCACATGTAAGTTATTCTTCTTGATAGTGTCACACCTAACTCAGGCTTTCTTCATTCCTTTTTTGATTGTTCCCCTAACAGATTGCTATCAAGGGATTTGTCCTCTGTTTTGCTGTAGGTTGTGGAAGGGGAGAATGCATCCCTGGTCACCAGGTGAGGTGCCTGGGCTCTTCCTGCCACCGCAGCCACTAGGACCTTACTTCACTCTGAGCATGTCTACACCCCACTTCCATAGTGATACTGCCTCGGAAACCCAAGGAGGGGTCGCTATGAGTCGGGGCTGACTTGACGGCACATAACAACAACAACAAAATGTCTACACAATTACTCTCTGTCCCACTGCAAATCCTGTGAAGTTGCCTTCTGCTCCTTCCCTGGGATTCCTGCTGTCTGTGTCTCACTATGGCTGCCCTGTGCTGGGCTTGCTGGCGGGCCCCTCTACTCTGTCTCCTGTTTTCACAGTTTCCAGTCAGCTTCTTCTTTTAGTCAGTAATCAGTTTAGTTCCTTATCCTTTTATTTGATGCTCCAGGATTGTCTTCTGTACCTGTTTCACGTAGTTTTTCAGGTCTTTGCTGCAGTGGGATGGCACAGTGTGTCTGTCTAAACCCCCATTTCTCTAAAAAATTTACATTTCTAACAAACTTCCAGGTGATACTGATGTTGCTGGTCAGGGGACTACATTTGAGAATAGCTGGCTTATAAGAAACAGGTTGATCTCACCTTGTCCCTGCAGAATCTGGCCCCAACTCACCTCTTCACCCTCATCATCAACCTTTGCCATGTTTCAGCCAAACTCATTACCCCCACTCTCATGCATGCAGTTTGGCCAACATGCCCTGCTCACCACACTCCCTCTGACCAGACTACCAGCCTGCTCTCTGCGTGGCTGACTCCTACCCAACCTTCAAGCTTCAGCTCAAATGCCCACTCTTCCAAAAGAACTTCTCGGACTTCCTCCCCATAGACTCAGCAATCCCACCAGGCTCAGTTTCTCCCATGTGCTGAGCACTTTTTGTTTTTTAACTGTGGTGAAATATACATAGCAGAAACATTTGCCATCTTAAGTGTACAATTCAGTGACATTAATTACAATCACCATGATACGCTGCCATCACCACTATTTTCAAAAGTTTTTCATCACCCCAAAACGAGACTCAGTACCTACTGAGCAAAAGAATTCCCATTTCTCCTTCCCCTCAGCCCTAGGAAGGTGCTCTGGTGGCACAGTGGTTAAAGCACTGGGCTGCTAACCAGAAGGTCAGTGATCCAAATCCATCAGCTACTCCATGACAGAAAGATGAGGCAGTCTGCTTCTGTAAAGGCTGACAGCCTTGGAAACTCTCTGGGGCAGTTCTACTCTGTCCTATTGGGTCATTATCAGTCAGAATGGACTCGACTGCTGTGGGTCTGGGTTAGTTTTCCAGCCTTAGTGACCTCTGCTCTACTTTTGTCTTGCATTTGCTGACTCTAGATATTTCATGTCCATGGGATCACACAGTGTGTGTCCTTTTGTGTATGACTTATTTCACTCAGCCTACTGTTTCCAAGGTTCATCCATGTCATAGCAGGTATCAGAACTTCATTTCTCTTTATAGTCAAATAACGTATTCTGTAACAGGCTGTATCACGTTCATCCGTTCTTCTGTTGCCAGACACCTGGGTTGTTTCTGCCCTTTGGGTATTAGAAATAGTGCTGTAGTGATCATGGCACTGAACTCGTTCAGTGTCTTGTCGTAATGTGTGTCCAGGTTTCACCCCTGCCTCTGAACCACGAGCCCCAGGACACCGTGTCACCTTCCTCACCTGTGTCCACCCCATCGTCCACATCCTCAGCACCTGTCCACAGAGCAAGGCTGAGCACATGCAGGTACAAATAGGAACATTTAGGAACTATGCCCATCAGCTCCTCTTACCCACTCTTCTTAGTACCTCTAACACTGAATCAATCTGTGCATGACTCTTTAAATAGAACGCAGGACAGCATGTTAGCCCATCCAACCTAATCTTTAGACACATTTTCCATATTTTCTGGGAGCAGAGTTATCATAAGAAATAAAAGCAATGACTACCACTTAGCTGGATCACCTGAAGGCAGTATAATGCAGCAGTTAAGAGCTTGGGCTCTGGAGTGTCACGGACGTAGGTATCAGCCTGCCTCTGAGTAGCTACAGTACTTAAATCCTCTGAGCTCCAGGCTCCTCCCCTTAGTGGGAATACCAGCAGCCCCTGTTTCCTGCAGAGGGCATCAGTATACAATGAGATCATTGTCAGCAGGAACGAGAGAGCATGTATGGAGTCCCTACTATGTGCCTGGCAGTGGGCATACATTATTGAGTGTAATCTACATAAAGGCTTAGCATAATGTCTATCACACAATAAGCTTTCAAGCAATATTAGCTATTATTATTATTCACTGTTATCATTGCCAATTTTCCTGACTTCCCTGTAAGACATACATTATTATCCACATTTTCCAGATGAGAAACTTGAGACTCAGAGCAACTAGCTTGCTCAACAAATGTTAGTGATTTTCATTCTGTAATGGTTAAGCTTTACAATTACCTTGCTGGGTAGGTCGGTACCATTCCCACCTTGTAAATGAAAAAATGGAGGTTCAAAGAAGGCAACTTGTACGTGGACGGTCCAGGATTTGAACTGGACTTTGGATCCAGACTGCTGCTCACCCAGCTCACCACACCACCTGGTAAATCCCACCTGCCTGGGTGCCACATGGTTAAGTCACTACGCCCTTTCTTACTCATGAGCCACAGAGAAGCATTTTCCCAATGTGTCAGAGAGCGCGTGCTGCACCTGCCCTAAAACACAGGCCACACACCCTGACTCACAAGAGGTTGTTTCCACAATGCAAGAGGACAGGATGCGTACCAGAGGGGGCGTACCCCAAAGCCCCTCCTCGGGAAGCCTCCAAGGACACGAAGGAAATCAGAGCCCGGAGGCCTGGGACTGACCGTGACTCCAAAGAAGTTTGTCTCGTTCATGGCGTTGAGGATGATCCTGCCCAGCGTGTGGTCCGTGTAGTTGAAGTCTTGGATCCGTTGGTGCCGGCTGCCAGCATGCAGCGTCTCCATGGCCCTCTGCAGCGTCTTAGCGATGACCCAGATGCCATCGTAGGCGTACCCGTGGAACTTGCTGGGCCCCACGCCTGAGCGCTTACTGTTGTACTCTCTCTCATACTGCTGTGGAGTCTGGAAAAACAAGGAAGTCAGCGAACACCACATTAGAACTGATGGGGAATGAGGCACACGACGCTCAGAAGAAGTGACACTTTCCAGCACCTACTGTGCTAGGCCCTTGTGGGCATTATTCCATGTAAACCTCACAACAACCTCATGAGGTGGGTACTATTATTGTTCCCATTTTACAGATGGAAAAATTTATTTGGAGAGGTTGACTTGCCTACAGTCCACAGTTAGTAAGAGGCAGGGCTGAGATTTGAACCCTGGCTCTCTGACTTCAGAGTCCATGAAGGCTAGGGGAGAGGGAATAATACATCCAAACCAGGCCTGCCCCTGATAGCCGCAGGGCCCAGGGCTAGGGGACAGATGGAGGCCATGTATGTCTAGGGGTGCTGAGTCCCTCGAGCTGTGGCCCCTTCAGGTCTGAGTGGTGTCTGGGCATATGTGAATGGTGTCTGGGCAATGAATCCACTTCCTCCTTTTTTGTTTCAGGGTCATACTGGAAGGCTCAAGTTTTATCCATTGACAATTTTCCTCAGAAATGCATCATGTCCAGCCATCATCAGTCAAAATGCTCAGCAGAAACTCTTCTGATTCAAGTGTTATTCAAGGAGACCAGCATCATCTCCTGCCCAGTTCTCATTAATCGCCACCCCCACCTTCCCCTTCTGGCTGGCTTCCACTGTGTGCTGCAATCATCCTTGGACATTTGCACTTATGCCAGGCCCATCACCAGGCCCTCTCTTCCCTAAACCTTTTGGGTCCTTCAATTACTTTGCACCACAAGCCTTTTATACTACGGAGCTCTGGTAGCATAGTGCCTAAGGCATTTGACTGCTAACCAGAAGGCTGG